TTTTTTTAGTTTGAAAAATCACTGACTAAATATATTTTTATTTTAATTAATATAAATTTTATCAAAAAATATTTTTTAAATGTAATTAATTTCTTGTAGATGTAAGTACTTTTTTGTTATATTTGTTTAATTTTATAGATCAAAATACTTTTTGGTTCAAAAAATGTTTAGGAATTTAATCGTTCAAAATATGAATGTTCATTGGGTTTTTTTTCGGACTTTTTTTCACTATTTTACCACATTAACTAGTTGTACAAGTCATAAAAATGTATCCAACAGGTTTTAGAAAAGTCCAATTAGGGGTGTTCGCGGTCCGGTTTGGGCGGTTTAACCCCTCAGACCACAAACCAAACCGTAATGGCTTTTTATAAAATTTTCAAACCGAGCGGTTTGACATCAAGTGTCCAGATCGGTCAAACCAGACCACGAAAATGCGATATGGTTTGACCGTTTTAGGCGGTTTGGGCCTTTAATGGACTTTAAATATTAAACTTAAAAAACAAATATAATTTATAATTTTAGATTAAATAACCATTTTATTATGTTAGATGTTAGGCTTTATGTTAGGCTTAGAGATATATTTGAGCCATAGTCCATAAGTTAAAAAAGTTGGGCTTGCTAATACTAAAATAATATATATATATATATATATATATATTTTGCAGTCGGTTTGGTCCAAACCGCCCAAAAAATGTTCCGGATCGGACCGCCCGGTTTTGATATTTTCCAAACCAAACCAAACCAAATCGTTAAACCGCTCAAACCGCCAAAAACGGTCCGATTTGACTTGGTTCGGCCGGTTTGAGCGGTCCAACGGTTTTTTTGAACACCCCTAAGTCCAATGAGTTACTTAACATGTTTTGGATTGTTCAAGGATTTATTTGTTCAATGACTTATTTAACATGTTTTAAATTGTCCAATGACTTATTTGTTCCAAAAAATTGTCCAAAAAGTTATTTAACATGTTTTGGAATGTCGAATGACTTATTTGTTCCAAAAAATTGTCCAAAGACTTAATCATTCTAAACACTAAAGTCCATTGAGTTTTTTTAGACTTTTCTCTTTTTCTAAATGTTCACTGTATTTTTTTTTGTGATAGCTGGTTAAATGGGTTATAAACTTTGGGGTTGTTTTTAAAAAATGATGGTAAGTTAATGCGTTAAATTTATATATGTGTTTAAATGTATTTAAAGTTCCACCGCTCATTTGTTTAATTGGTTTTAAGATGAGATATTTTTATTATCTCATGGGTATTGTTAAAAAGTTGGTGAGAAAACTTTGTGTATGTGCGAAACAAATAGAAACCAAAAAGGGAAAGTAGGAGTTGGATTCAGTGATCTTTAATGTGATACTTGTTGCTGTTTTAATCTTCATCCATGTGATGTTATAATGTGAGTTTATTTATAATTTTCATCTTATTTGGTTGAAATTGGAAGCGTATGGTTCTTTATTTGGGGATGATATAAAACTGTTTTTTATGCTATGATTAGCATAATTGTGGTATTTTAATATGTTTATATCAAGTGAATGAAATAAGGATGACATATCAAAGAAAGATGTATTTTGGTTATAAATGTGACATATCAAGGAGATGTGTATACCAGGATAATGGTGACACATAATCGATTTAATGTAAAATTTGGGTTTTGATCATGTTAAGTTATGTTTTGTCGCATCTTTATGATGCGATGACTATGAGTTATAGCATATGTGTGATGTGATGCATATGTTTAATGCGATGACTTGGGTTATCGCATCTTATTGATGCGATAAGTGGCTTTTATCACACCATTGTGATACGAGGAATGAGTTTGCCGCATCCTTATGATGCGACAATATGAGCTTATCGCATCACATTGATGCGACAAGTCGGGTTTATCGCACCTATATGATGTGATGAGATGGGATTCTCGCACCAGTGTGTTTGTGAGGAAATGGGGTTGTCTCACCCAAGTGATGCGAGGAATTTATGTTTTCATCTACATGACGTGATGAGTTTTATCATAATGCGATAAATGAGTGGTTGAACTATTTGATGCGACAATTGGTTTATGTCTCATCATTTTGATGCGACAAAAGAGATTTATTTTATTAAAAAGTTGTATACTTGTTATCAATACAAATATGAGTTTATACAAGTGTTTTGGTTACTATTTACGCAGTAATAGCAAGCAAAAAAAGATTTCTCACTAGACTACAAAGTCTAACCCTCATTTTTGTTGATTTGATCATTAACTAACATAAAGTGGAACTGGTCAAGAGGTGAAATTTGACAGAATTCATGATTTTTTCTATAAAACCCTTAAAAAAATAATTATTATTTTTTATTAAAATATTTAAAAACTAATATTCATCATTAAAAAAAATAATTATTATAATCATTATACTGTTAAGATTTTTCTTTGACAAATATTCATCATTAAAAAAAATTGAATTTTACGCAATTACTACATTTTTCGTATTCAATTAATAAATGATTTATGAAAAGTTGAATTTCTGACTTTAATAAGCATAGTTGACTAAAAGGGTATTCATAAATATAACGAAATATATATTGATTTTAGTGTTTCGTTTTTTTAGACGATGTTATAATATGATTTTGAGAAAATAATAATGTTTTTATTTAATAAAATATAAATATAAAGATATAATATATTTTTTAATAAATATATTGATACTAGTACACTCCACTAACTAACTATCTATTTTTTTTTAATTTTTTTATTATAATTTAATTTAGAGTTTAGTAACGAAGTTATTTATTTTTGGTTAGTAATATAATTCTTTTATAAATATAATATTTAAGTATTTTGTTAAAATATCTTAATTATAATTTAGAATTTTTATATTTAAAATGAGATGTTTATTCTCTGTTTGATTATGTTTATCTGCAGTTAGTTATACAAATTCAAACATGAAACTTTAATAAGTTGTATGTACGTATAATTTACTTGTAATCTTGAATTTTAAGTAATATGCATCAAGCAGGGTGGACCCATTAGTTGCCGAGTGGGGGTCCCGTGGATCCGCTCAACCAATTTTCATAAGTATTTTTTTTGGGTATGAAAGGTACACCCGTTAAACTTTGAACGGTGTTTCGGGATATTAGAAAATACAAAAGCGTCCATAAAAAAAACTAGAAAGTCTCTCAAAATCAATAAAAAAAGGGGAAAAAGTTCATTGAAATCAACCAAAAAAACTTAAAAAAGATGTCCGAAATCAGCCAAAAAAATTTAAATGGACATTTGGTTTGATTGAATGATTTTGAGGGATATGAATTTCGTGGAATGATTTGGAATTGGAAGGATTTGAAATATTTGATGTGTTTGGTTTGATGGATTTGGAATGAAATGAAATTCAATTTTCTATAAATAATTTATAAAAATAAATTATAAAGAATTAAATTATCTTTTTTTATTAACCTGGATATCCGACCCGTTATGCGGGCCGACTAATCCCAGGATGACCACCTGCTTTGCAGATAGTCCGGAGTCACCGCATTTGAACCTCCGTGACCACAAGATGATTTTTATTCCTCTTTGGATTTGAAACTTGGACTTCCTGGTACTTTTGATCTTTGGAGGCAAGCTCAAACCAATCAGTCACCACCCTTGTGGTTTAAATTACCTTTTTATTAATGAATGATTAGAAAATAAGTGTTTTTAACATATTTTAAAACATTACTATCTTCAAATCTTACGAAATCCCGTGAGATTTCAAACTCCTATGTTTGAGGGATTTCAACAGAATCCTAGGATTTCAAATTCAAACAATCTTGGATACCAAATACGAGAATGAAATAGATTTGAAATTCCAAATCCCTCATTTTTCATTCTATTCCTGCAAATCAAATGGACTCTAAGAATTCTTTGAAAATGTGTAATGTGGCTAAAAACATAACAGACAACTTTGTGGGATTTTGTTTTACTTTAAAGGTACACACGTTTAACAAAATTTTTGGATCCATGCCTAAATCCAAGTCACCCACTTTCCGAAATTGGTTGTCCAATCTCACCTTTCTAAGGGACTGGGTCCAGACGATTGCATCGTCCGTGAACAACTCTAATGTTGATGAAAAATGATCAAAAGATTTGTATTTAGGAATAAAAGATACATAAATAAAAATATAGGGACTTAAAGTGCATTTATAGAATAGTATGGGGTTATTTATGTAATTTGGTTTTAACTTCTTGAACTTGATCAATCATGGCGATTTCGCTTCGCTAACCTAAGCCTTCCTCGGAAACAAACGCCTTTCCTGCTAACCTAAGCCACGGGGGTGCATCACCTCTTTTAATCCCTTCACCCGTACACCACGCCGACCACCATGCCCTTAAACCTTCTCAAACTCACCTCTTCTATCTCCGTTCACCACCATCACCACCATCACCACCGCCATAAATGGCTACGTCGGGCAATTACCACCGGGAAATCTAGGCCACTACCTGCGACGTGCTTGGGCTGGTGCAGGGTAACAGAGTTTGCTCCCCAAGTTTATGTTATCAATAACAACGATAATAACAGACTAGGGTTTCGTGGTCCGACAAGTATCAGATTTTATTCTTTGAATAAAGGAGGAAAAGCGTTTGGTGGTGGAAACGCGAGTATGGAATCGGTAAGCAGTGATAACAGAGATGAAAAATCGACACCAGAAAGTGAGCACGACTCCTCTGTCATGCCTGCATTGCCGTCGCATGATCGCCGGCACCAAAGACCTCCTCCGTCTCATCAAAATTCATCCACTAAATTGCTAACATTGCCTACGATCTTAACCATCGCTCGCGTCGCCGCCGTTCCCCTTCTGATTAGCAGTACGTCCAATCTTCCCTTACAAAATTGATTGATTTTGGGAAGCATCAGACATGATCCATTATCATTATAGATTGTTAAGTTGGAGACATGTGGATGTTGTTCGGTGGATACGCAATTAGATAGTTTGATGGACAAGAAATTTTTGCAAATATCAAGCAAATGGGTGGAAATCTCTTGGTTTCTTTTTGAGAATTACGTTCAACAGATTGATTCTTTCAACAAAATTGGATTTTTTGGTTTAGCATGATGCTGGTTTATGTTCTATCGTCTCTATTAGAACGTAGGTTATTATTTCCATTTCACATCCTGCGGAAACTGCTTTTTGATGATCACAACTGTTTTCTATAGATTGAATGTTACATTGTGATCATAATATATGTACCTAGTAGAAGATGATTTGTTAGTTTAATTTAAATTAGTATCAGGGATCCATTCTTGCTATGATGTACCATTTAGCTATAAAAGCTTCGTGTTTGCAGAAACTGCTTTTTTTTATCTCACTGTTTTCTATAGATTGAATGCATGCTACATTGTGTTCATAGATTTAAACAGGTTACGCTGCAGTATTTCGCCAATAGCATCCTTATGTTGTCTCTATCTCATGCTAGTTGGGTAATCTAGAAATGAACCCAAAAGAAATTATGAAGCGGTAAAACCCAATATAAACCTGATGATATGATCATCTCTAGAATTAATAAATGTGAAGGCATGCTACAGTTTACATGCAGCATTGCTAATGAGCACAATGTGACTGTTTTCCTCACTTATATTGTTGCAAAGCGGCATGAATAATTAGTTAAATTGGAACTTAATAAGATATTATTTAGGCTTTTTATCCGTTACATTTACGATTTGACAATTTCTGGTGCAGCTATCATTTAGTGGGACTAACATATATTTTTTTCTTATTCTGTTAGCTTTTTATATGAACAGTTGGTTAGGAACAACTGCTACTACTAGTATTTTCATTGCTGCAGCAATTACAGATTGGCTCGATGGGTATCTCGCAAGAAGAGTACGCATTTATATGTTTTTGAACTTCCACAGAAAAATAGGATGGCTATTTTCACCTCCCCAAACTAATGCACCTTGATTTTGTTTTTAATTTAGATGAACTTAGGAACTGCATTTGGTGCATTTTTAGATCCGGTGGCTGATAAGGTATGCCTTTGCTTCTTTAGACATAAAACCTGCAAAAAAAAAAAAATCCGTATCTTTTACCTTGCTGTTGTCGTTCAAGAATTAGATAAACAATAGATATTATATCTTTTTCACTTTATTAAATTGTTTGATTGTTCGTCAGTGCAGCTTATGGTTGCTGCTACGTTGGTCTTGTTGTGTACAAGACCTCCAGAAGCTGCAATGTTTGGGCAGCTACCATGGTTATTGACTGTACCATCGATTGCAATAATTGGCAGAGAGGTAAACTCCTAATCCTAGGACACTTATATGCAGATACAATATACTGATGCTCATTTTATATGATTGTGTATTTGTCAGTTGGTGGATACATCAAGGCATGGTGTTCTGTCGTTATTTTGTCTGTATTTTTCATTGCTTCTAGAGTCTTTTCATGAGGGATGTGAGAGATGGCTTGTGCAGCATAATGTTTTAATACAAGTTGGAGTCAATGCCTGATGAATGATTCTAATTAAAAATAAACCCGGCTGCCAACTTGGAAAGTGGTATACCGGCAATCATAGTAATTGTGGTCTTGGTTACAATCTGCGATATGCATTACAAAGAAATGAGGTATTTCAGCTTTGTTGGATCAAAACGGACATATTAGATCACAGAGCATCCTAACGGGGTACTATTAATGTCTCTTCTTTTCCCTAATAACTGATAAATGACAGTGATTCCCCCCTTCTTTCTATGCAAACTGATTGAGGGGTTGGCATATGTGGATGCTATGTTGTCCTCATTTCTTTGTTTTTGTCTCATTAAGCACGGATAAATTCCGCGTTATGGATGATCTTAAGAGAAGGTTATCTGGACGTTTGATGTGTAGATATACATGTCGATGTAGAAACTCATTTTGGACTATTCAACACCCTTGGATTTTTCAAAAACATCCTTTGGGGGCCGTTTGTTACCTTATCACGCCCCATTATTCTTTGATTTGTTGCCATTTGCCAAAAGTATGATGTCTTTGTTGCAGTTTCTATGCTACATGAACTTTGCAGGAATTGGTTTTAACTAGTGCTGATAAGTACAGTTATATGAAGGAACGTTGCAGGCTATTTACTTTGCTTGATAGTTCCACATTGGCAACCATCCATAACTGTTGAGGTTTAAGGTCCTGCACAGATATTTTGTCAATTCATTCTTGTTTTCTCCCTTGATTGTTTAAGGGGTAATTTCACCTTTTTAAGTACACCCAGCTTCTAGTTCTTGGCATGTTGTCTTCTAGCCTTTCAGTCGCAATGTGAAGTATTCTCAAATGCTTATCCAATTCAGCATGGTCCTTTAACTTGTGGGAGTTACAATCAATACAAGTATCGTGGTTTCTGGCTAGCTTGATTCTAGGATTGCTAACATACAACTTGAAATCTATTATAGTAAAATACATTTCAAGAATCTGACCGAATAATATATGGTGTATTCCATCCAGATAACAATGTCTGCAGTTAGAGAATGGGCTGCTTCTCAAGGGAGCAAACTTTCAGAGGTTGCATTCTATTTTATTCTATTCATCTTGTAAATGTCGATTGTTTTTATAGATTAGTCTGAAAACGGTGGTTTTTGCAGGCGGTAGCTGTAAATAATTTGGGGAAATGGAAAACAGCAACACAGATGAGTTCATTAACGATTCTTCTTGTGATTAGAGACAGCAGTTTTAGAGAAGTAGGGTTTGCATGGGCAGCGGCGGGCGTTGGTTTGCTTTACGTATCAGGCGGGTTAGCTGTGTGGTCATTGGTGGTGTATATGAAGAAGATATGGAAAGTAATGCTCATGTAACAGCTACCAACTTCAACATTCTTGAAAGAAACCCAAAAGCTGCTGCCTGTTTCTTTAATTTTATAACCATATGTTGTGTTAGTTTGTTGAGATTCTTATTAAATTGGTTTGGATCATAAGAAACAATTTTTGTGGTTCACAGCATATCTAATATGTTATTGATGTGTGTGTAATAGAATATGTTTATGGTAGGTAGAGGATAGTTACAAAGGTGCATTATAAATTGTTGCAATCCAATCACTAAAAATAGAACACTAAAAATAGTGGTATAAACTGTTTGCAAAAAGGATCATTAGCAAAACCAAATTTCAAGTGGAACTTACAGTTTATTATTATGATAGTAGCTTAATGACATAGAAATTGGTTTATTGAGGAAACTGCAGTTTTACGTAGAAAATCAAGTTTTTTAAAACAGCTTTTTAATAAACAACCAATCATTTAACCAATTTACAAACAGTTTGTGCAAAACGAGGTTTAGGATTGTTGTAATTTACTCTGGAATTCATTTGGTATATTATGGGCATATAAAATGCTGGAGATGAACGTGGTCAAACTAAATCCACACACAAAGGAAGTTCGAATCAGATACTGTTGTTTCTGCTTCATCATCGAATCAAGAAAATGGCTGCGTTCAATCTAAGCTGCTGCTATCATTATCATCACTTTCACTCTCCACCACCACCAAATGTTGCCTCCGTTTCCATCATCTTCTCTCATCGTAATAAGATCTCTCTCCTCCCAACCCCATTATCATTTCATCCGCAAAAGCTTCGAAACAATCAGTTGGTTCTAGCAACAACAATGGCTACTGAGTAAGTCATAGGTCTCGACTGCTTTTTCTGTATTTTTCGACAAACCCGGATAGAAAATTATCAATATTTAACGAAATTTGTTCCAAAAGATTACAGCTCTTGTGGTTTGGAGGAAGTATTATCGTATATAAATCTGAATTGCAGATTCTCTGTTTCTAATGTTATTTTTTATTTTCTTGGTTGTTGTTGGAAGTGTGCAACAGGATCTTCCACCGGTTCTTGATTCTACTTCAGAACCACCTTCAATTTTTGATGGAACCACCAGGTGACCTTGTAAGTCATACAACTGTTCGTTGAAATGCCCAAATGAAACTTGTTTTAGGTGGTTTAAACAGAATTCACAATTTGGAGTTGAAATTGGAGCTCATTTTGTTTAAGTTTAAACCAAAATTGATCTGCTTCCATATTTAGACATTGAATTGAAGTCCCCTATGCATTCTTAGTTTACTTGTCCAAAATTTGTTTGATTTTCTAAAGACATGCTTTCTGAATTCTCTTGGTTAGGCTGTATGTATCTTACACTTGCCCGTATGCTCAACGCGTGTGGATTACCCGGAATTGCAAGGTTTTCACCATCACTATTTCTCTTTAAATGTAATGACAGTGTACGGTTTGATATCTGTTAGATTCATTACTTTCCGTTTAAATTGTCAACAGGGATTACAGGAAAAGATTAAGCTAGTTCCAATTGATCTAAAGAACAGGCCAGATTGGTACAAGGAGAAAGTTTATCCACCAAACAAGGTGATTTTCTTGCAAAAGTTATATGCTTTTTAAATATTTCTTCATGTATGTTTAATCTAGTACTTAACCAGTTATAACCGGTCCACGTAAGTCACAAGTTATCTCAATATATACCGTTGAAACAATACCCAGAATACCCAAGCTTTTGAATTGGGTTCAACCTACAATTCTTCGGCTGAATGCAGTAATGCACCTTTAGACTTGTTATCCAGGAACTTGTTCAGAAATACCATAATGAAATGAAGATAGGAGTCTACTTGCGATACTTTCATCAAATTTACTTGCTTGTGGTGTGTTTTTATATCATAGGTGCCAGCTTTAGAACACAACAATGAAGTAAAGGGAGAGAGTCTTGATCTGATCAAGTACATTGACACCAACTTCGAAGGACCATCCCTTTATCCTGATGTAAGATTTCATAAATGATTTTCCAAAATCGGAATTTTGGAACAAGTTCATTTAGCCGATTATAATCACCAAACTGCAATATAGGATCCTATCAAGAAAGAGTTTGGAGAAGAGTTGCTATTATACACTGATACTTTCTATAGATGCGTTGTCACCTACTTCAAGGGAGGTGGCGCTGATGAAGCTGGTATTCAGACCGTCTTTCACTATATTTCCTTTCCAACTAAAAAAACCAATTATATACTTAAACAAAACCGATTGTGAAAATTAAAACCTGCATGTAACATCGTATTACAATTGCAACAGCTGCTGCTTTTGATCATATTGAGCAGGCTCTTTCCAAGTTTGATGATGGACCATTCTTTCTAGGTCAATTCAGCCTGGTAAAGTAGCATAAACCCTTAAACCAAATTGCATTTATCAACTGCAACTATTTTCAACTTCTGATGTTGGCTCATGGCCCAGTTCATGAGATTCTATCAGGGTTTTCCTTTTGTTTTAATATATAATACGTCTTCATGGAAACAACAACTCTACTCTTTGGAGAAGATGTCTCATTCCTCTAGACCCCACATCCGAGTGGAATATGTTGTGCTAGTTTGGTTTATGCATATATACGTGTGTTCCAATTGCTCATTTGGTAATATGTATGTATATGATGTACAGATAGATATAGCTTATGCTCCGTTCATGGAAAGATTTCAGCCATACTTGCTAGAAGTGAAGAATTATGATATTAAGGTGGGGAGGCCAAAACTTGCAGCATGGATTGAGGTACTCACTCTTTAACCATTTGTACTTTCTGCAATATTTGTTGTACTTTCAAGTCAAATGCTTTTGGTTTCATGGTCCTTTGTTCCGTCAAGCTAGCTATATGCTGTGTATTATCGACGATTTCTACATAAGGCGGTAGTATTAGATATCACTGCATCTTATGAAGCAATCTTCTTCTGCAATTTTTTCTTGCAGGAAATGAACAAAAATGAGGATTTCAACCAAACAAGACGCGATCCAAAGGAACTTGTAGAGAGCTACAAAAAACGCTTTTTGGTATCAATTTAAAGTCTCTCGTCTTAATTTTATGCTTTCACATATTAAGTTACAAAGAATGTTCTTTCTGATCATGCAGTCTCCGCAATAAGGTTAAGGTTTTGTGATTCAGTAACGCCATGGAATGCATGAAGTTCCTGCAGATTGATTGCACCAGAAACACCGGATGTTCTAATATAAAGTGAAGAATTAGTGTTCAAATTGAATATTTGCAGAAAATAGTGTGGCCAAAATAACATTTGAACAAAGGGAGGGGATCTTGGTTGATAAATCTAATTTCTAATTGAATATTTGGTCGATTATAATATATATTATATATATACACACACATCACACATGTATATGTATATACATGTGAGACAAAACCATATAAACATCTTTTCATCATTTTCCAGGATAAATTTAATGCATAAATATCAAATTGAATCGAAGATATTTAATTTATTCTAAATTCAACAATTTTAGTTGTACTCCATTCTTCGACTATTTTTCATTTTTATTTATTAATACTTTTGATCAACTTAAACTGTCATTTTTTAATGATGTTCAAATCCAACATCTTATTCATTCAAATCAAACCAACATATAAAAGACCATCATGGTTCAAAGCAGTTAACCCGTTGTGACTTTAACTAGTCCTTAGGGCATTTACTTGCAGCTTAATTAGGCTTATTGGTCTTTCTGGCTTATTCGCACAACTTATTTGAGTTGTTTACTTACGGCTTATTCGCACAGAACCTCATACCCTTTTTTTAATCTCTAATATTTTCTTTATTATATACAACATAAAAATATGATTTTATTACTGTGGTCCGTATCTCTAAGCATTCGACCCCTGTAACCGGTCACATTGGGCCCAAAGGAGGGACCAATTTGGGTAACCTGTTGGGCCTAACCGGTCACAAATGCAACCTGACTGTTCAAATGTCTTGCAACAAAAAATACGAACCCAAGCTTTTCTCAATAAACCATGGACCAAGTTTCAAACTTCCAAATATATGTAAACATTTGTTCACAAACTATCACCATTTACCAGTTTTACTTACAAAAAACAAAAGAAAACCATCCCAAACTCTTTGAAGAAAGTAAGAAAGAAAAAATCCACACAAAATTATGTATTAAGAGTATGAACATATTAAGCAACTACTGCAGCAAGAAGCCTTCACTGCTGGAAAGAAGATCAAAGGGCTGCTTCCCAAGAGCATCTTTCAGGATTGAAATCTGGCCTTCTTTCAATAATACCTCTTCATCCAAAGCCTCTACTTTCTTCTTCAACATCCCAACTTCAGAACTCAACAGCATGTTATTCTCACTGTACTGTCTCACCTCCTCCCACATCATATCTCGTTCCTCCGACACTTTTGGTAATATCCCATTTACGACACTTAATTCTTTTTTGCAATCTTGTAGATCATTTTGCAGCCGATAAATGCTTTCATCCTTTTTCATCACCTGTTTAGAAACAGCAAAATAGACTCAAAAACCAACTTTCATGTTCCACAACACATTCTGTTACTCTATACACGCTTGCATTTAGAGACAATCAAGTAAATTGGGGTGGCATTTGATTCGCAGAATGGAATATACCAAAAAAATTTGGTATTTAGTCGCATTTGGTTGGCTTTTAGAGACAAGCAAACAAACTGAGGTCGCTTTCATTACCTGAATTTCAAGGTCTTTCATCTTGTGAGTGATGCATGAAAGATTATCCATTGCATTTTGTACCTCACATCTAAGAATCTCATTTCCTCTAACACCCGTCGCCACCTCAGCCTCCAGTCGCTCTACATCCACCTCTTTCGCATACAGTTTTTCCCGAAGCAAACTTGTCATTAAACATTCTGCTTTCAAATCAGACTTAACAACCTCCTGCACAAAAAACCCAATTCAAATCATCATCATTATGGATACTTAATTCACTTTAGTTGATTTTAAATCATTATGTAGACTTTCTTTAAAGATCTATAATTTAATTATCTTGCATTTATAAGTTTGACCTCAAGAAGCAAGAGCTCAAGATTACCTCAGAGCAGTCACTATATAGAGTTCCTGTGCAGGATTTCTCACGTAGAACATCAGATACCGTCTGCAAACTTCTTGTTAGGCTTTCGGCACCCCTTTTAAACCCTTGGAGTTTCATATCTGATTCCATAATGAATTGGCTGTCTAACCCATTTTTTGACGCTTCATTATCAGAGTTTAATGCTCTTTCTTTCACATTTTCCAGTAACTTAGAGCATAGCTGAACGTTATCATTAATCAAGCACGTTCCTTGATTTTGCAAGCAATGAACGCAGCTCCATAGTTCTTGATCCAGCTTGAAGGTCGAAAAGCCACCGTCTTTGGAACTCCCTTTCAAACGGTGTAAAAGGTTTATATTTTCATGTCTAAGAGAATCAACTTCTAGCCTGTACGATTCCACCTCCTTCCTCAAAGTTTGTTCGACCCCAGTTAACCTCAAGTGCTCGATTTGCAGCTTTGACTGCTGGTTATGGTCAAACTTGTTCTCCACCGACCCTTTCTTCCTCACTTCCTCACTAAGCCCCTCACGCAACCCTTCAATCGTTTTCTCTTGTTCGCTGCAGGTTCTAAGCAATCTTGTAACAGCACTATGCAACTCCTTGCACTCTTTATCTTTATCTGCATAGTTTCTTTTGAAGCAGTCAAGATCTTCTTCGGCTGCTCTGTATTTATCCTGTAATTCTGAAAGATTTTGATGTAGATTTTGATTCTGATTGGTTACTTCTTCCATCTTTGCAGATAGATCCTTGACTTGTTGACCCGAATGTATCAACCTGCTCTGATTATCCAATTCCCGTTCCCCAAACAACGAGACTTCCCTTTGAAGAGACACATTTTGCTCTGCAAGCTCCCTTACTCGCTCCCGAAGCCTACGCTCTTCCATTTGGTATTTCTCGAGCTTCATTGACCACTCAGTTGACCTCCTGTCTAACTCCTTCTCCAATGCCGACTGCAACTCGTTTTTCTCTTTCTCCAATTTCCGTGTTCGTGAATCCAATTCAGCCCTCAGTAATGAAATCTCATCCGCCTCTTCTGATTCCTCATATTCCAAAACCCTGCTGCAATTATCATCAAGCCCATAGTTCCTTTCTTTGAAACTTGAAGTTTCTTTAACAGGTCCATCTGAAGGCAAACAATTTTGGGACCTGCCATAGATATCTTCGATTGTGATCGGGGTATCATGATCAAACTGTTCCGAGTCCACCCTAGGCAAACGACGAGACTGAGAAAGTCTTTCCATGACCTGCTTCGCAAGTTTTCTTGGGGATTCATGTGCAGCACCATTCTCTACCCAATCTCTAGTTGACATATAGAGTTTAGATTCTCTATTAGGATCTCTAAACGAATGCGCCCTTGGTTTCTGTGTCAAACCGCCATCAAAAGGTGATGACGGTGCTGCATACTGGACTCGTGGCGGTCTTTTTCCGTCACCATTTGATTGACAGACATGACTTCTTGTGTTGGAATTCATCTGCATGTAACTCTTTTCTTGGTGTTGTTCACCATCAATGTATCGATCAAGAACCTTATTTGATGCATTAGTTGAGCAATAAGATGAGCTTTCGGATGAAACGTTATCAACTCCAGCAAATATGAATTTCTCTATCCTCTGTGCACCATCTATGGTAGGATCTTCACACCATTTTGCCCTTGAATGCCTCTCAGGTGTTAGAGCTCGACTGAACAACCAAAACAGAACAAGAAAGATCAAAAACCACTCCATCAAGTTCCAAAAACAACAGGTCAAACAAAAAAATAACAATAAAACTCCCACAAACAAATCTTTCCCAATGACAAGAACCACCACAAATCCCCAGATCTCGTGTGGGATATATTGGGTTTGTTATGAACCACCTGAAAAAAAAACTACAAGCAAAGAAAGCTAAAAGATTGGCTCACTGCAAAGAATGAGAAGCCGATTGTTTGTGAGAGAAATTGCTGCTGCTACTACAAGGAGAGTCACTCTGAGTTCTTAGCAGCCCACTATCATGAACAGTACCAGATGAATACGATCGGCTCTTTCTAAGAACTGGACTGCTTTGATCTTCATATGCAGCCTTTTTGGATCTGGATTTACAGGTCCCTTCTAACGATTTCTCAGAATGCAATTGCTTATCTTTTGATTGAGATGATGCTAGACTGTTTGTACCATTGCTAGATGCAGATGACTTGAAAAAGAAAAGCTTCTTCATCTTTATGCCCCTTGTGAATTCTCAGTTGAAGGACTAATCACAAAACTAACTGAAATTATATGGATTTTGATCAGTAAAATTACAACTAAAATGTATGAAATTTGATAGTCTCAACAAGAACTAAAATGAAGAACACCAGAAGATCTTTAAACCCTAAAAACCACCAAAAGGAAAGATAACTATAAACAACAAAACACATGCTGACATTGAATTCTGACCACCATCTTTTATAATCATGTAAAATTAATACCTAAAAGAATCAATCAACGTGAATATTAATGCACAATTGAATATGATGTGTCAGTAGCTTTTCTACATGATTATCAAACTATTCATATGGGGAAAAAGGACCAAAGTACCCTCGTCTTCTTCATCTCCCTGCTTTTCTAAAATCCTAATTCTCTCCAAAACAAAGAGTCCCAAAAACCCTAAACTCAAATATATAATTGAAAACCCCCCATTAAAACAAATTACACAATTAAATTCATACACAGAAGAATTAGGGCAAAAGAAATACATTAAACAACATTAGAAAGAAAAAAAAAAACTCACGAACTACTCCGTACCGACTTCCAAGCATACAACCATTGTTGAGTATCATCAAGAAGAAGAGAGAAAAACCCCATGACACATCAAGAATTTAAGAGGGTTAAATCATTATGATTAATAAATACCCACCATCAAAGCAAATAATTCCATACATAAATTACCCCAGAATTTTAAACAATTATCATAAATGAAGGATCAATTAACATCACAACCTTCTTTTCAAATTTCAAAATGGGAGTTCAGATTGAGAGCGAATTAACATGAAGAAGTTAAAAATCATAAAAATTAATTCAATACTTGAAATTGAATAAACCCCACAAGTTCATACACACAAAATGCAATGCACCCTACTTGTGACATAGATAGAGTTTTACCGAGCACGGCGTTGACGGAGAACTTGCCGGCGGCGGGTCTTCTAGAGAGAGAAATTGATGATAGAGAGGGAGACAAGAAGATGGAAGTGAAAGAAAAAAGCCAATGGCTCTGCTTTTGTGCTTGTGGCCATCTTTTTGTGCTTTCTTGGCTCACACTTAGGGACTGTAATGTAAGGAATTAAAAATCGAGGGGGTAGTTTTGCCCATAATTTGAAAGTTTTGATGCCGCGGAGACGGCGGAGGGGAGGAGCGTACCTTCTTGGGAGTACTGGTCGAGAACGCACGGGTGCAGGAGTTAATGGTGCGCCTTCATCTTTTTTTTTCTTTAATTTATTTATTCTTTAATATTTTTCCATATTTAAAATTGCAAACTTTTATTTAATATAAATTAGAAAATAAGCAAACGCTTAAAGGGGGTAAATAGGGTAATTGTGTCATTATGATAGGAAGATAAATATAGATATATTAGAAATAATAATTAAAATATATCATAATTATTTATTTATAATTCACTCATGTTTTAAAAAATTATGATCAATGGGAATCTGATAATTACTTGTAATTATTTTATTAATAAAAAATATTCTTTTTCCATAGTTAAAATTAATGTGATTTTAAATGCTTAATGGTGAGCCTTCATCTTCTTTATCTTTAATTTATGTACTTTTTTCATATTTTTCCATATTTAAATTTCCAAGTTTTATTTAACATTCAAAAATATAAATTGAAAAAATAAAAAATATGTTAACATGTGTACTTTTAGTTTTTTTTTTCTCATAGGTGTATAAAGAGGTAAATTGTCTTTTTTTTATTACATGATAGGATAAGTTTGTCATCATCTAAAGGACATGAAGATAGACATTATATATTAGAGTTGGATAAGAATTGAAACATCTCGTAGTTATCTATACTATATTATAAAGAGTTTGACAAAAACTCTTTAAAACAATTTGAATGCATAAAATACTGTTTATTGATACATATTACTTAAAATTCAAGATTACAAATTGATTGTACGTAAGTACAACTTATTAAAGCTTCATGTTTAAATTCGTATAACTAACTGCAGATAAACACAATCAAATACATAATAAACATCTCATTTTAAATATAAAAAATCTAAAATATAATTAGGATAATCATTGAGTTCTAACAGAATATTTAATTATTATCTTTGTAAAATATTATATTATTAAACCAAAAATAAATTATTTCGTTATTAAACTTAATTAAATTATAATAAAAAAATGAGAACTTTTAAATAGTTGATTTGATATTAACATTGATATATTTTTTTTCAAATTTTTATGATATCTTCAAATTTATATTTTATTCAAAAATAAAATCATTATTGCTTTCTTAAAAACACATAAAATCGTATTATAACATCAACATAGACAAATAATAAAATAACACATTAAAATCGAGATATGTCTAGTTGCATTGATCGAATACTCTTCTAATCCATTTATAATTCATCCATATAAAACTTTTAATTAATGAGAATTAATAGTTTTTTTCAACTGTTTTTTATTGATATTCTTTTTCCACAATTAAATTTAATGTGATTTTAATGTTTTGTTTTCTAGTCAAAATCTCATAAATTATTTTCTAATTTTACTAACTTTTTGCAACTAATTATTTTAATTTTAATTTCAAAAACATATATTTTAAATCATTTTTTGAAATATAATAATAACAATTTTTTTATGCCAATTCTAGCTTTTATGTACTTCTCAATAGATAAAATGCATTATGATGCTATTTTATATCATCATACATGTTATCATATAGTGTTTCCTATGCATCATAAAATATGCATACATAGCAAAAGCATGATATGTATAATATTAATAAATATAGATACATAACAAAAGCATGGTATGTGGTAGCATTATGTCTATCTTTTGGTCATACATCATGATGGACCATGGCATAATGTCATCATCCACATGGGGTCCATGCATGAGTTTCATTCTACCTTTCCACCATACCTTAGACATGAACCCCTTATTAAAAATGCTTGTTGATCCTCCCCCTAATCATGGGTTAAAGGTGTCCACTTTTCATAATTACAAATTCGGTCCTTCAACTATAAACTTATAGCAAAACAGTCCTTTTGGGTTGGATAGTTTCTTCATGTGTAGCCATTTGGCATGTTTGCAAGTCATCATTTTCATATGTTTGAAACATTCATATGCATCTCCATTGGTGCATCCATGCATGGATGTGACTCTTTGATGTTGGTGTGGAAAACGATATGTTTATACTGGTTACAATCTGATCGATCATATCGTAAACTTATTGTTTCAGTTACTGATTAACAAATGTGTTTAAAATGATCTGATAAATTTGACTCGATATTTATCTATACTATATTATAAAGCATTTGATAAAAAATTTTAAAAATCATTTTTTATGCATGAAGTACTGTTTATTGATGTATATTACTTAAAATTCAAGACTACAAGTAACCAATTAAAGATTCATGTTTGAATTCATGCGACTAGCTGCAGATAAACATAATCAAATAGAAGATAAACATCTCATTTTAAATATAAAAAATCTAAAATAAATTAGGATGATCATTGAGTTCTAACAAAATATTTAATTATTATTTTTATAAAAAATTATATTATTAAACCAAAAAAAAAATGAAATAAAGAAATACAAAAAAAAGGAGAATTTTTAAATAATTAGTTTGATACTAATATAAAAAAAATCAAAATTTTATGATGCATCTTCGTATGTATATTTTATTCAAAAATAGAAACATGATCGTTTTTTCAAAACCACTTAAAATTGTATTATAACATCGACTCAGACAAAAATAACAAAACATTAAGATCGAAATGTATCTCGCTGCATTGTATAGGTACTTTTCTAGTACTTTGAATATAGAGGACTTGCTATCTTTATTAACAACGGACAAGATGCGATCATTTAAGAAATTGATGACTTAAATAAAATTTGTGAGACATTTGTTTTCTAATATTAATTGTAATTTATTCATTAATTATTTAGAAACGTTATTAATCAATTAATTAATTTTATATTATTTATTATTATTAGTTAATATATTTAATCGTCAAAAAGAAAATATAAAAAAAAAATTGTAAGTTACATAAAAATGAAACTATATTTTATTCATAAATTCAGATAAAATATTTAAGTTAATTGTTAATTACTTTTTAAAGGGTTATTAACTATTTAAGACAATGTAAGGTTGACTATCTTTGTTTTTATCCATATGATCAGTCGTTGAAAATCATCGGTTAGTGTATAAATTTTCTAAATTTCGGATTTGATTAAACAAATTCACAATTTATAATATTATATATATATATATATATAATAATTAAATTAAAATTTTATTAATTAACATATTATATGATTTAATTGTTATTCATATAAAAATAATCAAATACTAGATAAGGATCCTTTGTATTTGAATTCACGTAATTAATTGATAAATATAATAAAATAACGGATACACATTTTCTTTTAAGTTTAAATTACTTTAAATATAATTAACTTTTTTGATAAAACAAATTATATAAAAAATTAGTATTTTATTCCCCTTTTTTTACGGGATTTATTTTCTTATCATAATGTATGCGTTTATTTATTATTAACAATTATTATGCCTCTAAAGACCATAAAATTCAATATCACAAGTTAATGGTGCATCAGTTCAAATTCTTAAAGATCCATTTTTGAAATCGTCTGATCAACACAACCAATTTCAAGATAAACTCTTCATTTCTTTCCTAATAAAGATAAGTTATTCTTTTATTTTTAAGTCTAATATATGCAATACATTATAGGTGTTATATATGTTGGGTTGGGTTGGGTTCCGGTGAAAATAAGAGTTAACGTAAGAAGCGTAATAAAAGATTTTCACCTTGTATATTAAAATGAGATGCACCGAATCAATCCCCACGTCAAACAATTTACCGGTGAATTTGAGAGATGTGTTATTGTTGTCTCTAGCAGCAATGCGATTCAAGGAGATGGGAATGGGAGAGGGCTGTTTCGCTTCACCTTATTGGATATAATAAAAAAAATAGTTATTGAAAATAATTATATTAATTCTAATAAATTCTCTATTTTAAATATTTTAATATTTATTATATTATTAAAATATACTATTAATTTATTATCCAATATGACTTTTAAAAAGAATTTATATAAAATAACAATGATTCGATTTTTTGGTAGAAATGAATTAAAAATTAACTTCTCATATTATACATTTAAATTTATAGCAAAATAAAAAACAAAAACTTCATTTTCTTTATTTTAAAGAATATGTAGGAAATACTCTAACAAGTTCACAACCCAATTCAGACTTAACCAAAATTTAGGGAATGCTTTTAGCAACTTAATAAACTTAATGAGACTTGTAGGTTATTCAGTCAGTTATATATGATTATTTGATAGTGACTTGATGATATAGAATGTTGCTTATTAAGTAAACTTTTAGGAAAATTTTATACAGAAAGTCAAGTTATTTCAAACATATCCCTCACAACTTTATCCAATTAGTGGTGAAATTGATACTTTTTAAATGTCCTAATTGTCCTGACCTTTGTTCTTTATGATAACTATTTCCCAAGATTCGGATAATAGAAACACTCGTAGTTAATTAACGAATTGATGATAAGTTGAAAGGCGTATCTTCAACAAGTGTAGGGCCCCACTTGATTACTGAGGGGTGTTTTGGATTGTTTATCTAAAATAATTTATGTTTTTTTAAGTGTTAAAACTTATTGATGTCAAACCGAAGTTTTATAAAAAAAATGTTTGGATTAGCTTATGTCGGTATCGAAACGTAACAAGTTGATAAGTATTTCTTTTTTCCATCCAAACACTAAAAATTTCTTATTACAGGTACCCCACCGGAATAAGCTAATAAGTTAGAAGAGAGTAAATTATCAAAAACTTCGTATTACCGGTGCCAAACCGGTATAAGTATTTCTTTTCTTTTTCCATCCAAACACTAACAACTCCTTATTACTGGTACTACACCAGAATAAGTTAATGAACACATTAAGTAAGCAATCTCAAACACCCCTTGAGACTCCCTTGGTAGAAAACATAGTTGATGCGAATTAACCCAAAAAACAAACTCGGCCGAATTCAAAACATGCGATTGTGCAACTACATATATCAGTGGGTAGCACCAAGACTGCATTTGATACCCGAGACTTAACAAAACAAGATAAAACTTACTGTTTCATATACGACATAGACACAAGACAGGAGATCTTTTGTTCTACCAAAATAGTTGATGAGAAAAACCTAAAACATTATCGATACATTTCTCATTTGATATACCCCTAATATGTTACTTGCTTCAATTGCCACCCTGCTGACCATCAACTACCAATAGCCACCTCCACCCCATCGGCTACCACTACCATCGTCTATCACCACATCGGCCACCACCACCCTAACCTCCCCACAACCAACACCCTGGTAATCACGATATACAATCATTAAACAATATTTTAGGGGTAACTGGTACCGCAGAAGGAAACGACTATTTATGCCAACACTAAACAAGCCCAATGGCAGTATTAATTTTGCCAAACACAGACAGACAAACTTGCCCTCTGGTCCAATCTGTTCGGTTTTGTTTTGCCTACATGAGTAAATGGATACAACTCGTAGGTTATTGATGCAGTTTCAAAATATATTGGTTCCATTCTAGTGTTGCAACCAATCATTTTTTCAAACAAAAGTCGATCAAAAACCACCCAGCAATGTCTTAAGACATACACTGTGTTTTAAACACAGGTGTGGTTAACAAACACACCTGAATCTGACTCTAATCAGACCCATACCATAGTAGCCTAAAATATGTAATAATACATAATAGCATCTATCATTTAACATACCAATACCTAAAAGAAACAACACAAAATACAACATCAAGTTGTCACAGTTATTTTCTTTAACTCCAGACTCCAAATTCAAGAATAATTCCTCAATTCATGATTAATACTCGTTGAAGGTCCATACCCCATTTTGCTCGCATTTAACCAGATTCACTGGCCTCTGGTGAACCATTGTTTACATCCTCATCCTCAACAGGGGTTCCATTGTCTCTAGGCACTGAACCAGGGCTCCCACTGTGCCCATTTTCTTCAACAGGACTCCTGTTGTCAGGGCTGTTATTGCCTCCTCGACCACCATCATCTTCCATGGGGCTCCTACTTGTTGCCTTTGGCCTTCTCGCATGGTCTCTTGGTGACGGTGTACCCTTTTCTTGCAGGCTTCTGTCATCAGGTGATGGGCTGCGTTTCCTCCCTCTGGATGGTGGAGGTGAAGAAGCCCGGTGTCTCCTAGGGCTTCTTGACCTTCTTTCTGCACGTTCACTGCTTCGTTCTCGCTTTGCAGGCGACCTTGATCGGCTGCCCAATTCAATGAGAATAACATAAATCAAACACTCGAGACAAAAACTCAAGAAAAAGATGGAACCAAACAGAAACTGCATGTAAAAAACATAAACAATTTACGAAAATGCATGGTATAAAGTGAGAAAACAAATCCATCAGTTTAATAAACCTCATTCTTGCAAAAATGTCAAAATGAAGTGTAGTACAGCTCTTCTAACATTTCTGCAAGACCGATGGTTGGTCTACAAAACAGCTAATATAAATGTATAATTGTTCAACAATGTAACCACTCTTGAGAACAATGAAAAAGGCTACGGAAGCAAAGTAACCTGTAGCTGCGACTTCGACTCAAGCTCCGACTCCGGCTTCTTCCACGCCGAGGTGGAGATGGAGTGCGCGAATAACTTCGTCCACGCCTGCTTTCAGCACTTGGTAAGAAACAAAAAAAATCATTAATTAACTACAATTATCAAAAAATAATTACAATAATTAAGCCGCCATAACAATCTTACTTCACTTTCTTGGGACTGTTCTGACAATTCCTTTCTATATGGCCACGTTCTCCACAGCGATAGCATTTGTTCTTCCAGTCACCAGCTTTGCAGTCTCGAGCCCAGTGGCCATCAAGCCCACAATTGAAGCAACGGCCTGATCCTGGAGGAGGACCTCTACCAAGAAATTCACGAGATCCACCAGAAGCGCCGCCACCGCCGCCACCGCCACCGCCCCCTCGTGGAGCCTATTACAAGTTTAAGGATGTATCAATTATTTGGCATCTTTTGACTAACCCAATGAAAGAATTGCAATCAGAAAGCAAAAGATGTGTACATTGCACTTGTTTTATGGTAAAAAATGATAAAAACAATAAAAAAGAATAATACAGCATATGCATGTGGGAATGTTGGATCCATAGTAGTATCACAAAGTATAGGTTTGTTATTTTTTTAAACAAGCAACTTCAACCCTGATAACTGAAGAGTGAATATTACACAACCATTAGAAGCCTCAAAATGTCAATCAACTCATCCAATTCATTATCCTCAATCCTTCAGAAAACAGAAGAGAATGTGCCCCTAAAGATAGCATGATACCAGGTCATTCAAAGATCGTTACCCCTTTTGCAAATTCCACAACAATGCGACTTCCATCGACGTCACGACCGTTTAAGCTATATCTTGCATCATCAGCATCTCTAGGGTCACTGAATTCCTATAAGAAGATAAATAGAGAAAAAGCAACGGTAAAATCTATCGACAAAAGTATGCAATATGAAAAAGAACAGTATACCCTAACAACTCTCAAGATCATAAAATACAAGAGGTAACCAAACCAGCAAGTACTTACCACGAAAGCAAAGTCACGCTTCATATCCACATCACGTATTCTGCGTAAATGGGTGCCAGAAACAGTAAGGCCATCATGACATTAGGTACCAAAGGGTTGATACTTCGCCCCTCAAAGATGAACTAAACACCACTTTCAGATTGTTGCCATTTCCATCAAAAAAAGACGCAAAACATTATAGAAAGAATCGCCAAAGTCTCCTACACAATCTGCATGGATAACGACTCTTTCCACCAAGGGCAACCTCTCACCACAGACCTTCAGAAAGATCATTCAAGTTAATTTTCCTTGACACTTGTCAGGGGCACTTTTTTAAAACGAGTGTTTGTTGAATATCAAGATTAAGCCAATAACGGCAATGTTTTAGTTTTCCATACACCTTGAGGTAGAATATCCCAGAATAAAAAAGGCTATGTATGACCACCCAAACGCGAATATATGAAAGTTGGGCCAACTTTTCAGCAAAAATGGAACAATAGAACTTTCACCTCATGCGCCATGAAGGTACACTGATGCATAAACATGGGTAGAGGCTTGGACAACATAAACATAAAAAGATACCTATAACTATATCTGCAAGACTAAGATCACAGGTATGAAAGCGATAAATCTCATAAAAAGAATCTACAAGTCAATTTGTCATGGATATTAGCAACAAATCATGCAATATGCAAAATAGATCTTCATACATATATATAAGAATAGCCTATATAACATAATAGGCAGTTGAACTATTAACCTTCCATATCTGCTAAAAATGTCTTCCAAATCACGTGATCTTGTACGTGAAGCCAAGTGGCCAACATAGAGACGGGTACTGCCATGACGATCATCATAACGCGGCATATTCCTATAACAATAAAATCTTTAGAAAACAATAACATCCAAAAAGAAATTCAGAAACAAGCAAGTAAACAACCACATTGCATCCAGAAAAGCACATCCACATTAATAATCAATTCAAAAATCCCTTAGAGCATTCTTTTTGATAAAATATGCTATGTGATGGACATTTAGGCACACAACAGGTGTACCCAATCATACCATATGTAGCAACCAAGTAAGCACATCATCAGTGTACCCAAGAATATGTGCACATCATGCTCAGGAAGATTTACTTGTTCAATCATCTGACTGCTCATGCACAACAATTCATAACAATATGAAATATGAAGTTGAAACAAATAAGACCATGCCTTTTTTTTATGTTATTTTCCATCATAAAGACTTTGAAAAAGTTCATCAGGGTAACACAGAAAAGGATATATATACACACATACACACAAAACAAATGAAGAAAACTAGAAAAACTTAAAAGTCAAATCAAATTCATCAAGGATGAGGGCCAAATATTCCAAGCTATAGATGATAAGGTTGGGAAACAATTAAGGGATTATATTGATAGGTTTACCAAATAAAAACAATAAAGAAAGAGTAGATGGCCGAATCACTCTTTTGATGACACTAGTAAGAGGTGTTGCACGATTAGCATGTTGAAGGTGAAGATAAAGATCAAATCCAGGTAAAGCTCTAAGTTTTGACAATCCTTATGGAGACCTGGAGAGCTAGTGAAAAGGAAGCTTTCACACAGCTCACTAGATTATTAAGCCAACCGTACAACAGGTAAATGGAGGAAGAGCAAGTAGTCCCAACATAGAAGAATAATGAGATTCAAAACTCAAAAGTTATTAAGAAATCACTTTTGTAAGTTATAAAGCATTATGAGAGTTAGCTGCAGGACAACAGATGAAAGTTAACCAAGGTCAATAATCAAGCTCATGAAAGTCCATGCTATGTGCTTCTCCTACATTATATTATTTAGACAACTTAAGAAGAAATAAGAAACTTAAAAGGATCCACATGTGGTCTTTATCAATCTAGATAAAAGCATATGAAAGGATATCAAAAGTGATATAGTGGGCTCTTGAAGAAAAAGACCCTAGAATGTATGTTAACGAGATTAAAAATATGTATAGATACCAGAAAAGACATGCATGTGATGATGCGACATGCTTTCCGTATCTCTGAAGGTCACACCAAGGCTCAACCTTAAGTCTGTCTCTTTGTTATAGTTATGGATGAACTCACAAAAGTACCAAATGATACAAACATGATGTCTGCTCCTTGCCAACCACAGTGTTGATTGATGAAACTGAACAGGATGCTAATGCAAAGTTATAGGTTTAGAGGAGAATTCGGAAATCTAAAGGTTTTATCTCAGGTCAAAACAAGAAAAGGTATGTCAAAGGCGACATTTACAATGTTGACGTAGAAGTACAGGATTTGGCAAGCATAGCTAGCAAAGAAGTAATTACGAATGATTTCTTTTGTCATTTGGAATATTTTTTTCAGAAAAAAGAAGATGTCAAACGAGGGTGCGGGACATACAATAAAAGAAATATTAGAAAAGAATGGATATCAGTGGGAGAGATTGGTTACTTACTTCACAATTCTTAGCTCCTTATAGATTTTTCAAATTGCCTTTCACTTTCACTCACCTTATAAAGAAAGCTACCTATATCTCATACGCTATGACTTTCAAGACAACCCTGGAACTTCCAAATTCATAGGTCATACAGATCTCATTGCAAACATATTTATATAGCTCAATACATGTAACGAGGTTCTCTTGAAAATTGAAAAAGTCCATGAAACTCTATTCTCTTCCCAAAAAGGAGTGTATTTCATGGTTCCACTGTTCGCCATATAAACCACTCGAAGAAGCTACATAACTTACCCAAATTTTACAGATTGTTTTGACATCACAACTACATATGCAGGAAACGATGAAAACAAGATTTTCCAATAATCAATATGAAAACATATAATAATCTGCCAGAACACAAAGAATATTCTAACTTTGAAGTAAGGAAAACAAACATCAAGTTAAAAGATCAAGATCTAGATCCAGATCCAGATTCATCGAACAAAATACTACCAAATTTCATGGCTTCATGTATTCAGATCTAGCAAATAAACTCACAAGTAGGTGCAGACAAAATCGAAAGTCACGGCGCGCACACAAAGAGAAAGAGGTACCTGAAGAAGGCGAAGGTTCGTACAAACCCTAGATTTGAGTTTCTTTAAGGAGTCGGGAAACAGAAACGCTACTACCGTCTTCCTCTGATTTATAGCGCTTCAATGTACAAAATCCACAAAGTCCCAAAAATGTACCCTTGCAATAAAAATAATGTTTTTTGTTTGGAATGATTAAGTTTTTAGATTTTTTTTTGGAACAAATAAGTTTTTAGATATTTTAAAATATGTTAAATAAGTCTTTGGACTATTTTTTGGAACAAATAAGTCATTGGATATTCCAAAATATGTTAAATAAGTCCTTGGACAATTTTTGGAACAAATAAGTCCTTGGACATTCCAAAAAATGTTAAATAASTCCTTGGACAATTTTTGGAACAAATAAGTCCTTGGACATTCCAAAAAATGTTAAATAAGTCTTTGGACTATTTTTTGGAACAAATAAGTCCTTGAACAATCCAAAACATGTTGGATACATTTTTATGACTTGTACAACTAGTTAAAGTGGTAAAATAGTGAAAAAAATCCGGAAAAAAATCCAATGAACATTCACATTTTGAACGATTAAGCCTCTAAATATTTTTTGAACCAAAAAGTATTTAGATCTATAAAATTAAACAAATATAACAAAAAAGTACTTACATTTACAAAAAAATAATTACATTTAAAAAAGATTTTTGATAAAGTTTATTTTAATTAAAATTAAAATAAATTCTGTCAGTGATTTTTCAAACAAAAAAAAATTTATTATTAAATTTATTTTAATTAAAAATATATATATCATATATGTGATTTTTTAAATTAAAAAAAGATTTAAAAAGATTACTGGTGAAATTTATTTTAATTAAAAATAATATGTTTTATAATTTTTTTTAGTTTAAAAAATCACTGACAAAATATATTTCCGGATTTTTTTCACTATTTTACCACTTTATCGTTCAAAATATGAATGTTCATTGGGGTTTTTTCTGGATTTTTTTCACTATTTTACCACTTTAACTAGTTGTACAAGTCATAAGAATGTATCCAACATGTTTTATAAAAGTTCAAGAAGTTATTTAACATATTTTGAATTGTTCAAGAACTTATTTGTTCCAAAAATTGTCCAAAGAATTATTTAACATTTTTTGAAATGTCCAAGGACTTATTTGTTCCAAAAATTGTCCAAGGACTTATTTGTTCCAAAAATTGTCCATGGACTTATTTAACATTTTTTGAAATGTCCAAGGACTTATTTGTTCCAAAAATTGTCCAAGGACTTATTTAACATATTTTGGAATGTCCAAGGACTTATTTGTTCCAAAAAATTGTCCAATGACTTATTTAACATGTTTTGGAATGTCCAAGGACTTATTTGTTCCAAAAAATTGTCCAARGACTTATTTAACATGTTTTGGAATGTCCAAGGACTTATTTGTTCCAAAAAAAAGTCTAAGGACTTAATCATTCCAAACAAGAAAGTCTATTGGTTTTTATTGTACTTTTCCCTTTCATTTATGGGTTTATTTTTGGTGTTTAATTAAATTAAAGGCGAACTCGCTAATAAATTAATTGATTAATAAATTATTTTTGAATAAACTAGCTAATAAAAATATAAAATAATTAGAAAAATATATTTTCAAAATTAATTGATTATAATCTATACTATATTATAAAGTATTTGACAAAAACTCTTGAAAACCACTTTTTATGCGTAAAGTATTGTTTATTAATGCATATTACTTAAAATTCAAGATTGCAAGTAGATTGTGCATAAATACAACTTATTAAAGCTCCATATCTGAATTTGTGTAATTAACTGCAGATAAGTGTAATCAAATACAGGATAAACATCTCATTTTAAATAAAAAATAAAAAATATAAATAGGATAATCATTGACTTCTAACAGAATACTTAATTATTATCTTTATAAAATATTATTTTATTAAACCAAAAATAAATTAATT